ATAGGGACGATTGACTACTAAGCAATTTGCTATGTCACAACTTTTATGTATCGTAATTGCACATTGAACCAAAAATCACAATTATTGTATACTGAATCATTTAAATACTACTTGTTTTGGCCATAGATATTTAATTTTTGTAAGTACATTTTTGCCCACTCACTTTCGTGCCCGCTATTGATATTGTACAAATTTCAATGAATATACTAAGTTTGAACAAAATATGTCTATGCATGCTTGAGATCCTGATCCAGAATAGCAGAAATGCTTGATTTTGCATGAAATGACAACATGCGATAAGCACTCTCAACAAAAAATTGTGGGAAAATCGTGGCAATACTTACGGCAACTTATCAACATTGGTAACGATTGAATGAAAGAATTTCTCAGTCACTTTATGGAGATTACTGATAGATTTTGATAATTGTTCACGGACTTCCTCATGCTTCAATGCTTGATCTGCAGTCACATCATAAGGCAATTTACTGCAACAAAGAATGTCAGGGTATTTATAATACAAAAGTCTTCTACCGTCAAATCTGTATTAGAAGTCGCATCCCTAATACATTCTCGCCGCCAGAGTTTATTTCCGCTTCAAGAGAGGTCGAGGCCGTGGCATACAACGATGCCCTAATATATGTCGCACCCATTTTTTTGAGAATGAAAAAAAATCCCAATTTCTCATTTGTGTAGATGCTGTAATAGAATCCGCATCCTATCTGTTGCATTATACCATTTTAATAGAAGTCGCAGCTTCTAATACAGACTTTACAGTACTGGTCAATGCAATTTTCACGTGTCCATCAAAGTTTCCATAACAGATCGTGATCAAGTTAAAATAATGTATTGAATTCTTAAAGTTACTAACCTTTTCTCACCAGTCTTGGATTCCATCTGGTTCACCCACACCTTGTAGATGTCCACCGGGTTGGTGTTAATAATCAAATTCTTGTTGTCCAGGATCTCTTTAACTAAAGGTTGTAATAACTCACGCAATGAACTTTCACCTTTAGTACCTCTCTGAGCTCTGCAATGATATATCAGAAGATGATTTTTATAGCCTTTATGATTCTCTACAGAAACCATCAAGGTTCAAGTACTGTATAATACTTTTATTTTCGCTGAAGGAATTTACCACTTTTCCTATATTTTACCAGTCAAGCCCGCAAAAACCGGTGAAAATAAACATCATACGAAACACCTATAAAGTCTTTTTAGTGAAAATTAATTCAAGCTGAAATATAAAATATTTTACAGTACAAGAGACAACTGTCCCCAACGCCACATTAAACGATTTCACAAATCTAGAGGGATATTTCTAAAATTAATGCCTTAAATTCATTCTGTGGTATGCATCAACACATATATTTTTTTGAGGTTTTTTGTCAAAATGTTTGGAAAAAAATTTGATGTCAAGTTTGAAATATTTTGTGGACTGCCAGAGCAACTCCGAAAGTTACAATATAGCGTAATTTTGCAGTATCTAACAAGGTATCTGAAATCTACATTATGACACGATGAAAATCTCAATTTCCAAATCAACTTGATTAATGCAATATTTTAAAAAAGAAAATCAAGTTGAAAATTCAACAATATTGTCAGCAAATCATTTTTTGTTCTACTCACCGGTTATAATGAAGTACCATTCGTATAACCATGGCATCTCCAATCACAACATCTAGGATTTTATCAACTTTTGATCTAAAATGAATATAGTAAATGTCTTTAATGCGCACTGAAACTACACAAATAAATCAAAGTCAAGCAGTTGAACAAATTATTAACAATGATACACTAACCGTACTTCCTCTTGCAAAGCAGTTTTGTACAATTTCAAAAGCAGAAACTCCTCTCTTTGATTAGACGCATAGTTGTACAACGTAAGAATAACAGACTGCATGAATTTATTGGTGGCACTAGGTGGCATTTCAAATATCAACTTAGCTAGGTAGTTTGGTTGTGTCTGTAGTAGGTAGAAGAGGTGTTGGTATGCCTCCAACTTCTCTCTCTTCTCCTTACTCAGTGATTTCAATCCCACAATGCTGGACGGACGACTCGTGTCGGCCTTCTCTCGTTTTAGCTTTTTACCGTGCATCACAACATCCTGTAAGATTGTATGGTGAAACGAAGTAAGAAAAACAAATTTCATGGCAAAAACAAACAAGCAGCCTATCAGCTGAGATAGCTCCGCTGTTAGCAATGCACATTTCAATTAAAGAACTGAAGATATCATTAAAAAATGAACAATATGTATATTATCAAAGCAACAGGACTTGCCGTTTTCAACAAGAATTCAAAAATATCACTTTTCACTAAAAATATCCATCAAAATTAGATAATTGAAGATATCATCACAAAATGAACAAATCTGAGAGAGGTCCACATGTAGTACCTATATATGTAATATCAAAGCAATTGGACTTGTGATTTTCAACAAAAATTTGAAAATATCACTTTTTACTAAAAATATCCATCAAAATTAGATAATTGAAGATATCGTGAAATGAACAAATCTAAGAGAGGTCCACATGTAGTACATATACACCAAGTATCAAAGCATTCAGGCTCGAAGTCTAAAAAGTAAAACATTGACACGGACATCGACGGACTATCACTCGTATGATAAACTCCGCTCAACAAAGTCGACAGCGGAGCTAAAAACAAAAGATTTATTTCAAGCATCTTGAGTTTAAAAACTTTTTTTTTTTTTTTTTGGCTTTACAGATTCATCAACCAACGAGGCAAGTAGAAGCGAAGCAGACAATTGGTCTGCACAACGTTGTTATCAGAAGCAGACCTAAAATTGTATTATTTTCAGTGTTATTATTCAACAAAGTTTAACAATAAACAACTAACCTGCAAGGTGATCCTGTTTCGTACAAGCAGACCAATTTTGATATCCATTGTATTCAAATCATGTTCTAATCTTTGATTTGATCTAATATCTGTTACTACTTGAGCACGTAGTTTTTGTAAGTCTAGTATTGAAAAGAGAGAAAACACCAAATTATAAGTCTTACTTTATTAGTGTACCACAAATAAAAGGGCCCGATGCAGCATGCTTTTTATTTCAATGGTTCATTGTTGCAAAGTGCAATCTTGTTTAGTCACTTTCATAAGACGCAACAGTTTGAACACTTTCCCTCTCAAAATTTGCTGCAACACTTTTCACATTTTTATGCGTTTTTCATGATTTCTTTATTAATTTTGGACCAAATGAACAAAGTCTTCCATGGAACGCAAGTCTTCATCAATTGTTTTAAAACAAGCAGCCTATTGGCTGAGATAGCTCCACTGTTAGCAATGCACATTTCAATTAAAGAACTGAAGACATCATTAGAAAATGAACAATATGTATAGTATAAAGCAATCGAACTTACAGTTTTTAACAAGAAGTCGAAAATATCACTTTCTACCAAAAATGACAAAAATATTTACCAAAATTAGAGAATTGAAGATATCATCACGAAATGAACAAATCTGAGAAAGGTCTACATGTGATATCTATATATGTATAATATCAAAGCAATTGAACTTGCGGTTTTTAACAAGAAGTCGAAAATATCACTTTTTACCAAAAATGACAAAAATATTCACCAAAATTAGAGAATTGAAGATATCAAGATGAAATGAACAAATCTAAGAGAGGTCTAACCAAGGTACACAACGGACGACGATGATGGACGACGGACGATCACTCATATGATAAGCTCCGCTCGACAAAGTCGACAGCGGAGCTAAAAAACGTTAGTGAATAGAACAGATGCAGACATAGAATAGTAAAAACAAAAGAATTGTACCACCACCATAGAAGGCAGGGTTTTTTTGTAACAGATTACAAAAGTTACCTTTGCATTCAAGGAGTGAAAGTGGTAAAATGTAAATCAATTCTGATAGAACACAAAGGTATTTGTAACTTGACTTTGATGAGTCTGGTTCACATCTATCATTTATTTGCAGGCTGAGAGCTACGGGAATTTTATCAAATCTCATCTAATTAGATCAACTCTTTGAGCACCATAATTTCTCCCTCTAAATTTCTGATGTGACATTTTGCAAATTTTAGTGTTTTTTTTCTGAAATCATTTGCTACCTGTCTTGATCAGAATCTGATTTTAAAATATTGAAAAAACTACAAACTTTTAATATGTAAATGGTGCCAAAAGTCGACATAGGCATTCAAAGGATTGAGATGGAAGTAGTTAAAGTTCCCCTATAAACTGTAAACAATGCCCCATACTCACAGCTAGAATTTCAATTTTACAAATACAAATCTCTCTTTGGAAGGATTCTCTAGAAAATAAAAGTAGCCTTTTGTAAAACAATCAAGAGTTCATTTACCTAATTCTTCTTGCAAATCAGCATCGTTGTTATCGAGCAGATGAACAAATTTCCTCACAACAGACACAGATGGTGTTTCTGAATGCACTATAAGAAAAGAAAACATTAAGGTAAAGCCACAGCGGAGGATATGTTTATTGAAAACATTCCTCAGGAGGAACTGAAAACGATTAAATAGCAAAAACACAAAACAGAATACAGCACAATATAAAATACAAACAACAAAACTACCAAATATATCTACGAATTGAGGTTTTTCTGTATCAGTATTTATTTTGTTAAATTTAGCATGTGCAATGTTCACGTTAATATCTTCGCCACTAGAAATATAAATTTGTCATTTGCCAAAAGAGTCATGAAATGGTAAAATTTGTCGTGCAAACTTCATATAGTGATTTACTTTTATCATTGTGAGAATGGCATAACATGATAAAGTGATATTTATTTTCAATTTCTTTGTCAGTACAAAAGATACAAAGGTTACCTGCATCACACACAGCACCTGAGAAATTGCGTTTGTTGTTCAGTGGATTCGTTGCTTGAACAAATTTTATTTATTTATTTTTATATAAATTTGGCGATTGTGGCACTGTTGTGAAATATACAGCTGATAAAGATTTAAATCACGAAAATCACTAATACTTGAAGGAAATGCAGTCCTGGCGTTTGAGGGCGTGCACGTATGCACAGATTGACACAACCTGAAGGCTGGTATCACAGAGAATAGAAATTGTCAAATTTCATCATAAATGCATAAAATCTGGAAAAATATATGATTTATATGTAATCTGACAACATTTTGCGATAGTTCAGTGTCTTATAAGCACTCGTAACTGGTTTGGACAAGGTATTTTGTATTTTAAGGAGTGATTTTCGGCTGCTAGAAAAATGTGTGCACATTTTGTTTCCTCGCTTGTCTTGTATATAGTGCAAGCTGATCGGCCGGAAACAAGTATTAGTGATTTTTGTGGTTTCGGAACGTGATGATTAAATTTAATAACATGTTTGCTTTACATTACTAAACTGTTTTATTCTATAAATTTCTATTATTTTGAGCAAGGACAATGTCCTGTACCGGGACATAGTCGCTCGGTCCCATAGACGTCCATGCATTGAGACGAATAGATCGTCAGGCCCCTGTGGGTGTTGTCTGGCATTTTGCCATCATTCACAAATTTTGATTAACAATTTAGTCTATAAATTATGTTTATTTAATCCAAAAGTATCAAAAAAACAACAAAAACATAAAAACAGACAAACTGTTGCATGAAAATTTTGTTAAGAAACATGATGGTGCTCGAAAAGGGTTAAATACTTACTGAGGGCGTAATAATCTTGTCTTGCTTTGTTTGAACGTAAAAAGGCTTGGAGTTTAATGATCGAACCTTCCTGCAAAGTCGACAATGAAATAGTCCTCAGTTATCACAGTAACATGAATATAACTAACTTTTATGAAATGAAGAAAATATTGATACAGAGTATTGAAGCCACATTATGATGAACATTTAATCAGTAACACGTACAGTTAAGGGTATGATCAATATATTTTGCAATCATCATCATCATCATCATCAACACCACTAACTGGTGTTATATTTGTTCATACTCACATTATTTCTATAGAATTGTTGACGCTCTTTGAAGTGTTTTCTGGCTAATAACATTCGCACCAGGGCCTGCAGCTGTAATAACACAGACAACAACAGATGTCAGCACAAGTTACTTTATTTCCTGTTCTATGATTACTTTTAAATTATGCAAATTTTTAACTTCACAATTGGAGTTTCACAAAATGAAACAGACATTGTTGTGTTAGAAAGAGGCTTGTCAAAATGCAGGGAAATATTTCAACTCAAAAAACTAATAACTGAGTATGTACAAGTTTTATTTTGTCTTAAATGCATACTAGTATGAGCTGTTCAAAACCTGATTTAAATACCACCTGTGTGTTCCCATCATGCATTGCACAAAACAGCGAACATATTTCACAGTGGCACACATTCATATTGTATTGAGTGCCAAGTAACCAGAGAGTTTTATTTTACAGCAAGTCTCGGAAGTATTAGGGAAACAAGCCAGCAAACGTTCTCATTAATTTGCCAACTTTGGTTTTGAATAAAGTACATGACCTATAATTTGAATATTACGCTTCATTCTGTCACCATCAAATGCTAGTCATGTCTAAAAAAATATATTAAAATGTACGAAGTTTTACATGTACTGAACAGTGTGCAAAATTTGTTACGTTGGTTAAAACTGCTTTGTCAAAGCCAAAGTTGTCTGCAAATTAGTGAGCAAGTTTGCTAACAATGCTGCCCCAATACTTTTGAGAGTTGTGGTAAACTAAAAATACAGCATGCAGCATTTTAATGTTGTCTGTGATGTCAAATTAGTGACAAGAGACGGCAAATGCTGAGGTCTAAGGTAACTGAATCCAAAATGAGAACAATGCATGTCAATAATAAGACATAGGAAGGTGAGAGAACAAGGGCATCACATTGTTACCTTGGTAACTGTATCAACTTGACTATTTAAATAATCTAATCTTCCCTGATAGGTTCTTTGTTGAAGTACCATTCTCCACCAAGCCTACAAATGAAACGTGTATAAATTGTAACATTTGACGATTCCTGAAGTTTGTACAATATTATTGATATACGAGCTAACAGAGCAGATGTAGATATAGAATAATAAAAACAAAAGAAATGTACCACCACTATAAGAGGACAGCCTTTATCAGAAACATCTTAGAATTTAAAACAAAAATCAGGAGGAACATGCACCCTCTTTGCCTCAAGTACTTGAGATAGGCATCAATGTTTTGTTTTGTTTTTCTGGTTTTTAGTACCAAATAGTAGTTTAGTTAGCATTTAATAGAAAAATTGTAGGGTGAATATTATTGTCAGAACCATGCAACAAAGCAAATATCGTCAATGTAGTTGAGCATTTATTAGCAGAAGGGGGTATTCCAAAGAAAATGGCCACTAAATACTTTAGTTAAATGTAGCATTGATGAATCTGGTTGCGACACATGAAAAGAGTAGATATAAAAGCTTTTATCTCGTATAGAAATAGACAAACCTGTATTTTCAGGATAGCTGGTAACTGTGTAAACATAAAATTCTTTCTTTTCTTGTATTCTTTTCTGACCAATGTACCTCGTGTGTGCGATTGTAGTTTTACAATTAAATGCTCGTTGGATTTGAACAACAGTTGTCTATCATGCGCCGCTGTAACATTATGTACAACATTCTGCAAAAAATATCTTTTTATCTTAGGGTTGCACTCAATGAATTAGTCCACATGATTAGACAAATAGATTAGATCATTAGCCCAATGGATTAGCCCAATGGATTAGCCCAATGGATTAGGTTAAATGATTAGCAATGGTGAACAATGGATCAGACTAATAAATTAGATCCTTGCCTGTATTTCATCACGACTCAGTTGGCTCGTCTGTGGTGTGAAGTCTGTCGGTGGTAACCATGTATAGTCCATTGTCATATTATTGAAGTAGAATGGGATACCATCTTTAGTGGAGTGACACACCCATCCATTCTCTTTCATCTCTAGAAATAAGAAATAAAAAAACCAAAAAAAAAACCATTACATAACCATAATAAGAGCCACGACTCACCAAATCTCACATGTCAACTAATTTCAGAATGAGGCGCTTTAAATATAGCAGTACTGATCTAGAAAACATATTTGTTCTTCAATCCCAGAAACACTTGATTCTGTATCGCTCGAGATTTGAAGCGGACAAGAACTCAAGACTAGATTGAAACAATTTAGCAGGAGGGTAAGTGTGCAGAAGCAGGAAACAGAAAATTTGTTTTCCTAACTTTGTATTGATACACAATAAAAGGTTCATGAACACTCAGTAGATTATACATCATTCCAAATTTCAAAACACCTACTTCTTTGAATGGGGTGGTGTGTGATGGGAGATCAAAAAAATTAGTGTTTGATGAATAACAGTAGTTACATTATTTTTTTTATTATTGGTATGTACCTCCATTCAACTCTTTCTTCTTTTCTTTCATCGATTTCAAATGTTCCAAATAATCTTGATTGCATTCTGGGGAAACGCTAGATAGAAATACATCAGGCGACTTCAAAGCTTGAAGCAAGGCAGACGTGTTACTATCGTCCACCATTAAATTTATAGCAGCTAACCCAGTTGCCACTGGTGAGGAGAAGAAATAAAATAAAGAACATCAGGTCAAAGTCATGCATCTACTGGGGAGGTTGCTGAGACTTTCCCATCGACTATAATGCGAGGATTATCTTCATCACACATATCATGTTTCTTGATGGAATTTGCAGTACTTTTCACATTCTACAGTCCTGTCCGTAACGTAAATGTTGTCAATTTAGCCTGATCCATTGTATGTGTATAGTGGATAAGAAACAAACAAGCAGAAATAAAATAACTGTAATTTACATTTATTGGCTTCTAAAGCTTGGTTGTTAGCATCGTCAATAGCATTCTGAATCTCTTCCAACCACAGAACAGCGGCCGGGTCTTGAGTTCTCTACAAACAAAAAATGTAGTTCAGTCATGACTAATTGTACATATTAATTGTACATAATTGCATTTATTAAATTGATGTAGAATGCTCTACAGTTATACTATTAAAGTTGCATGTAATTGATGAGTTTCACGTTCACTGATTGCCATATACTGGGGGGAGGGGAGGGGGGTACAAGTATTGATTCTGTGATAGAAAGAGGGATGACTTTAAAACCCAATGAGATGTCTTGTAATTTTATGTATGCATGTCATATTTTGTTAATATAATATAAAATTACATCTTGTCTTGCTTCATGAGGACATGAATTTATCGTATCCATGGCAATGTGGACAATACAAAATCAACATCAACTGAAGCAGACACAAAGTAAAACATTTGCCTAAAACTGCATTACAACACTGATGATTTGTGTATCAAAACCCCAACCCTGCTTACAAGAATTACATTGTGATGTTAATGGTTTCTAAGCAACCAAAATACATAAAACTTGCTGTTATTGATTGAATGGCTATTCAGATGCAAACTTTCTACTGCTTACTATTTTGAAAAAATTATTTCTTGTTAGAGATGATTGAATGATAGTTTACAATAGTTGAAGCAGATTGAAGGATCATTGTTAGAGATGATTGAATGATAGTTTACAATAGTTGAAGCAGATTGAAGGATCATTGTTAGAGATGATTGAATGATAGTTTACAATAGTTGAAGCAGATTGAAGGATCATTGTTAGAGATGATTGAATGATAGTTTACAATAGTTGAAGCAGATTGAAGGATCATTGTTAGAGATGATTGAATGATAGTTTACAATAGTTGAAGCAGATTGAAGGATCATTGTTAGAGATGATTGAATGATAGTTTACAATAGTTGAAGCAGATTGAAGGATCATTGTTAGAGATGATTGAATGATAGTTTACAATAGTTGAAGCAGATTGAAGGATCATTGTTAGAGATGATTGAATGATAGTTTACAATAGTTGAAGCAGATTGAAGGATCATTGTTAGAGATGATTGAATGATAGTTTACAATAGTTGAAGCAGATTGAAGGATCATTGTTAGAGATGATTGAATGATAGTTTACAATAGTTGAAGCAGATTGAAGGATCATTGTTAGAGATGATTGAATGATAGTTTACAATAGTTGAAGCAGATTGAAGGATCATTGTTAGAGATGATTGAATGATAGTTTACAATAGTTGAAGCAGATTGAAGGATCATTGTTAGAGATGATTGAATGATAGTTTACAATAGTTGAAGCAGATTGAAGGATCATTGTTAGAGATGATTGAATGATAGTTTACAATAGTTGAAGCAGATTGAAGGATCAATAGCCAGACATCATTTGTCATATATATTAACTCAATTCATACCATAGTATAGATATGATAAGTTGAAAGTTCAACGACCTTGCTTCTCATTTTGGGGGTTCTCTGTATCAAAAATCATGTTAGCATATTAAACTGTACTGTACACACATTAAAATATAAGCAGATTTACTTTTCAAGATAATGGAAAAACACAACTTACCGCAGCCTTGTCTTGTTTCTCCGTGACCAGAACAGCTTGGTACAAATCCTTCTGTTTGTCTTCAACTCTACACAGATGAGCGGATGGTAGTAACAGTGCCGCTAAAGTCTCAGATGCATTGCCGCTATCAATGGCTTCGTTAATCGTACCAATTGCCACAATACCTACCCAAGATGCAGAGAGTATACAAACTCGATGAGACTGTGTGTCAGTATATGTTTTAATGTGATGTAGGAGATAATATGCTTGTATATTAAAATGTGTATGGCAAGTCAATATCATATAAATCAGTAACGTTCTATAAAAGGAGTATACAGGCTCTAACATGAGGGTGAGAAGGTACTGTCTATCTGAAGTTCAAGATTGGCCAAAAAAGTGTCAGATCTGGGAGGGAAAATTAACACGTGTGTGCAGTAATATTAATGGATGAACTTACGACCCTGTTCGTCTTGAAATTCACTGTTGACTTGATGAACAGTTCGTTGTATTTCATTATGTGTTAAATATTCACAGTCTTCTTGCTGTGGAAATCAAGAAACGTCAAAGTAACCTAGTACAGAACACATCCAAGTATGACAGATGGCACCAAGACAACTAATACAATTCACATAGATATCAAAGTTTGGTCTAATATCACCGATTTAAAACATTAATTTGACCTTGATTCCACTCATTCAACGAGAGGCAGGTGAACAAAAACCCTGTGCAAGTTACTGGAGGAAATACTAAAACTCTATTTAATGATCATATTTCTTGACAAACATGACAGAAAAATACAATAAATTTAAAATTACATAGTTACTATGATGCAGAGCATACCAACCTTTGTTTTAAGATCTTTGTTAGTGGTAAGGCATTCCTGGTACCTGTCTTGCAGAGAATCATCCACACTTCTGATGTCTGCATGGTCATTACTCAATGTCAATAATGTCTCATTGGCGTCCCCTCTCTCAATTGACTTATTGATGTTAGCGATTGCACTCAGTACTAAAATAAATATAAAACAAGCGGTCTTCGATCGTAAAAATTTACAGAAAATTCAAATGGGTAATTTACAACTTTCCTGGAAAAGACCTTATCATCAACCCCAAGACAGTTGAAGTGACTGAATAAATTTGTATAAATAATTTACAAATTTCTTTGTTTAGTAACAACAACAATGTTGAAATGACAACAACGTAGCCATAGTATGTACCCAGACAAAAATAAATCAAGTGGCACCATGGGAAGTGAGATTGTCACAAAATGTAGCAAAGAGTTTGCATAACATTAGATCATTTGATAGCGCCAATAAGAAAGTCTCTTGCTTTTTCGCAATGCTCATAGGGATTTTACTAGGGAGTTTGCTAACTTCCATACGAATCTTGATTGCACCCGCTTTAACACATTGAACGAAATTAACAAGTTTGAAAATGATTGACATGGTCATATCAACAAAACAATTTTTTATATTAATGTATGCAATAATAATTAGAGGAATTAAGATTTTACATCTATAATACAGATGTAGTAACTAAGGGGAATGACGAGATGATAGCAAAATAAATGCACGTTTCTAAAATTCACAATGCAAATGAGTGAGCCTGTAAAAAAAAAATTGGGGTTGGCTCATGCCAGTTACCACACGAGTGTATTGTACATTTTTGCAATCTGGAATACGACAATAAACCTTGCTCAATTATGTTTCCACAAGCAGGTATTATTTACATTTCATTAGTTGAATACTTTGGTGCTGAATTTACGAAGACAATAATTTCATCATTCATAGTGCTATAATCTGCCCATGATATATAAAATCAATTTTTTTTAGAAAACTTTGTGTTGTTCACGGCTTACACAAACAATTACAACATACTTACTTTGGACAGACGACACCAACTCGTCATGCGTTAACTGTTTCTAAAAAAACAAAGAAATAAAAACAATTATAAAATAGAACAGCTGCTGGAAATGTATTTGTTGGTAATGAACTACAAGCTTCAAGTCCTAATAATCGTAAATTTGAAATGTTTTTAGTTATCCATACCCCATCTTTGTTATTTTTCAAATTGGCCAGCTCAGCTTGATACAGACGTGAATATTCAGGTAAGACGGCTGGTAACATGGCTTCTGATTTCATGAGTGCAGCAATGGTATCTTCAGGCACTCCACGATCTATACAGCCATTGATAGTAGACACGGACGTAACCACTGTAATTATAGAGACACTTGAATATCATTGCCGAATGCAATGTGTTGTGCATGGCATGTATCATCAATATCTTTATGCAAAAAGTGTCAATTAGGTAGCAAACAACACTAGTATGGAAAAAAAAATATACTACTCAGTGATGATGATGCTTAGATTTATTTGGTAACACGCAGAGAGGACAATAACGGTGCTTAGAATCAATAGCAATCCTATTAAAATCAGATTATATCGGACATTTTACTATTTTTTCATTGTGATTTTATCATTTTTTTTTTCCCAGTTATTTCCCTAATTTTTGTATTTTAATTGTCTGATCACGAATGCCAAAATATCTGAGGAACCTCATTTAACTCCCACAAACTTCAATAACCAATCAGACAGGACTTTATATACAGCAATGGTTAAACTTTAAACGTTTGCACATAAATTGCACAATCACTGTATGCAAGGCTTTCTCTGATTAGTTGACGAAACCAGTCATTTATAATCTCATGAAAGAGAACTTCTATGGAGACGTTTGAGATCTTGAGCTTTCACAGTCAGAAAATTTAAAAAAGGGAAGTAAGAAAATCCAACTAAAAGAATAAAAAAAGAAGAAGAAAGGCCCAACAAGATCAGATTTCAATCAGATTGGATCAATACTTAAAGGCCCAATTCACTTGCCCCGGGGCAAGTGTGAATTGGAGGTGTGACTATGCTAATGAGTGTTGTTAATCACTTGCATAGCCTATGACACATCCTGTTTCAGCGGTCCAACATCACGTGACTTTGATTGACAGTAGTTAATTATTCAAGATTAGTAGCGTGTCCCTTTCCCCCGGTTCGAGTTTTTGACTTTTATTCGCCAAAATCTCAGCTTGTACACTATTTATTGTCATAAATACTACACAGTCACTGCTGTGATATTCATAGTCACATGCATCCACTTTGGCATGACATAATCGACCTGTAAGTTCGAGAAAACGCGCTATTACCGGGGCTTGGCTGGAGCTGTTTACTACAGCGTGACAAGCAAGGAAATAATCTCTATTGTTTAGAACCGTATTTATAGTATACCTGGGCCTTTAAGCTTCCCCCATCTGATAGAATGCCATTCTACTGTGTGTTAGGTGGTCTAGAACAGAATCTACTGTGTTAGGTGGTCTAGAACAGAATCTACTGTGTTAGGTGGTCTAGAACAGAATCTACTTCACAAATTACATTGTATGCTGATGAGTGAGCAGTCTGCTGAGGCTAATAGAACCTCCCCAATGTGCCAAGTCCGACAATAATAATAATAATACCTCAAGAAAACAGGCAAGTGAAATGTCCCTAATCATAATAAATGTAAATTAGGTCAGCATATCATTTTGGCTGATATATAGCAGAGCTGACCCGTATTGCAATTGTCTGAATACATGCAATGTACTTTGCTATATTCCCATCAAACTCCTATTATACAAATTCTCCTGATTGCAATGGCAATTTAGTGAGAGATAAAGCCGGTATGCCAGCTGAAAACATAATACAAGATTAACACTTGAACAGTACTACTACTTTGCATTCAGAGACAAGAGTCAGACAGCCTTTTCAAATTAAATCATTACTTACAGTTTTTGTACTGAACAGCATTTGTATTGGCTGTGTTAATTGTTTTCTGTATGTCATCTTTCTCCAAGAAAACTATGTCTCCACCAGAGGCCTGTAATGGGAGAAAATGTTAGGGATTAGGTGGAACATGAAATGGGACAGTAATTGAAACACAGCAGGAAAACAATATTTATCTTAAGAGGATTACTCTATACTAATCCAATCTTTTCACCACCAATTCCTACTTTTCATCACAAATAGTCTTGTTTATAGTCTGCACTTTCCTTCAGAAGAATGGTACAAAAATAGCCAATTGTTTTGAATAAAAACTGAAAATTTATTCAAATTTTGTCTGTTGGCTCCAAAATTAGGGTTCATTTCCATAAATATTGAAGAATACAAGAAGTACAGAAAAATTTGGGCGAGAAAGTCTGGTGGTGAAAAGGGTAAAAGGGACAGTAAATTACTATATATAACCGGTACTGTTTTCACCATTATTATTTTTTTAAGATTTAGTT